TCAGGACTCGCTCAGGATTTAGGTCGGTGGAGGCCCTATCATCTTGGGGTTGTGCTATCTGGAAACGAGGTCCCCATGGTTGCCACAGCAGCGGTAAAGAGAAGTATAGTTTGCACACGGGCTTTGAGATGTTTCAGCCTCAAAGGGACTCATGTTACTTTCACTTACAACCTTTTGGCCAGAACAAGTCACATGGCCCTTCATGACTGCAAAAGGTCTGGGCAATGTGGAGAAGGGGGAGATTTGACGGGTTGTGCAGAGATCTCTGCCACCGTGACTGAGTGTTGGGAGGAGGGAGGGGACGACGACCTGAGTGAAGAAATGAATGAGGTGAGGGGTGAATAAACAGGTGAAGCAGGAGAGCCGTGTCCAGCCGGAAAGCCTTCTCCCGCCAGGCTGGAGTGCCACGTCCCTGGTGCCAGCGCAGAGCCAAACCTCCCGTGGGGGCTGTGCCACTTGCAGTCTACCTGTCACCTCCGGGATTACATTTCAGGAACTCATTTTGAGGAAGACAAGCTGGGCCCAGGGGGGCCGTATCTCTGTGTCCTTGTCCTTGGGAGGCGGAGAAAGGAGAAGAGGAGGAGGAGAAGGAGGAGCAGCCGGAGGGATGGGCCAGGCTTCGGAAAGCAATTAGTGGAGAATGGGAAATTACTTTCTCTGTGTGAGTTTGGTTTTGGCAGCTAAGCTGCCGCCATCCCCCAGGGTTGTGCTGAGGGCCAGACTGGTGTACCTTGGCCGGGGAATCACCCTGGGGTGGGGGCTTAGGGCTAGGAGGCCTGGCGGCTGTCCCCTGGCCTCTCCCTGGAAGCCCCTTGGAGGGGCTGGGGCGGCCCCACGGCATGAAGTCTTTCTGTAGGTAATTATGCTTGGTTGTTTCAAGAGCAAAGATTTCATCTCTGCATCCCTGTGTGGCCAGCAAACGCCTGGGTATCTTAGTTGCAGTCAGCCCGCCCCCAAAGCAGATCCCAAAATGAAGACTTGAGCGCAGGTAGTTTAATTGGGAAGCACGCATGAGTGGGGACAAGGACGGAGTGACAGGGAGGGCGGGCCAGCCATATAAGGGTGCCGTGTTGAGGGTGCGGTGGGTGACAGGTGAATGATCGCCGTCCAGCTTGCCTGCCTGAGGGACGCGGAGTCTGAGCATTTATCCCCTGGCTCCCTTCCTCACCGGCTGAGGGCTGTCCTGAGAGCGTCAAGTCCTCTGACTCTGGTTGGCATCTGTCCACGGAGGTGTTGCACCTGCAGGAAATCCAGACAGAAGGCCGTGGCTCCAGGTGCCTGAGTCCCCGCGGATGCATCCTTGGAAGCTGCAGCGAATATTAGAGGTGGGCTCTGGGGACACGGCACTGCGTACCGGATGCGGGTGCCACACCCCACTTGTCAGGTGGTGCTTGGAGTAGGGCAGCCTTGGAGGACTGGGGTGAAGGCCCGCCCCTGCCCCCAGACTGAGGCCAGTTCCACTGACGCCTTCGCCAACCCCCGCCTCACTCTACTCTTGCAGATCCCCAGTTCTGGAGAACAGGGAACCCGCCTTTTGCACTGTGGGCTCCCAGTGTCTGGTCCAGAACCCAGTGTGGAGCCCAGGAAACTTATGTCATGGGGAAAGGCAGATCCTTGGCTCTCCCTCCTGCTCACCCACATGAGGCAGGTGTGGAGGGTAACCCAGAACGCCCCCTAGTGATGGGGCTCCCCGGTGCCAGTTGCTGACTCTGGTATAACAACCTCTCCAAGGGCTAATCCTCAGTGCCCCTTGACACTTGGGAAAACACAGCTGGTGCTGGGGTTGTAAGGGCCTCAGGGCCACTGGAAGGGTGGAGGCGCGGTCTACAATTTTTGTTTTCTGCCTGCTTCTCCCCTTTTACTGACCATGCTCCCTGCCTCTTGGAGAATCACTCTCTCCTCACTCCTCCCTCACTCCATTTGCTCCCGGAGGGGCCGCCAATCATATTATCCTATGACCATGTGACCCAGCTACAGCCACAGTGATTGGCTCAGGAGTAGATACGTGACTCAGGCTGGGCCAATCAGAATCCTTCCCTGGGATTTTACGTGTGAACACTTGGAAAAAGAGAACCCTTCTCTTTGCCTATGAACTTGGGGCTTCAGGGGTGACTCCTGAGGTCCTCCCAGGCATAGTGGCAAGCCAGACTGAGGGCCAGAGGGGAACAAGCTCCTGGTGCCTGGTGTCTTGTGGTCTCTGAGCCTGGATGGGCTCAGGTGGGGGCCCTATTCTCCTATGGGGAGACCCCACTGGGGCAGCCTCCATGCCAGGATGCTGCTGGCTGCTTCAAGACCCTCTGGCCTTTTCAATATGCAATGGTGATTGGCCGCCGTTCTAATGTAGGTAACCTGGCCATCATCAACGAATCTGACTGCCCTGCAGGTAGAAAGGTTAGATTTGCATGTCTTTGTAAATCCCACTGCTTTTCTATTACAGCCTGGGGGCTGGTGAAAGAAGGGCTGTCTGGCTGCCCTAACGTCTCTTCTGGGTGCAAGCCTGGCTCCCACCCTGTTCTCCAGACTTCAGGGCAGGACCGTCTTCTGGCCCTGCAGCATCTCCCTTCCTCTAGAAGCCGAGCTCTCCAGTGGCAATGTAATTCAAGCCACCCAGGCCGTTTAAACTGTTCTTTACATTAAAACATGTGAAAATAAACATAAGAAGTTCATTTGAATATAGTTTCTTTAATCCGGTGCATCCGACATGATTTCAATGAATGATCGATGGAAAAATTACCAATGAGGTATTTTACATTCTTTTTTCCTGCTAGGTCTTTAGCCTCACAGCACGTCTCAGTTTGCACCAGCCACATTTCAAGGGCTTGGCAGCCACAGGGCGCTGGTGGCGCTGCGCTGGACAGTGTGGCTCTAGGCCACCACCTGGTGCAGGGAAGCAGCCTCCTGCCCGCAAGCGTTTGGCTGACTTTGGCCTTTTCATCCCGGCTCAGCTTCTCATTTGCACTAAAACATTGTTGTGTATTCACTACTTGGGATCTGTGATCAGATCTTGGCAGTGAGCCTACAAACCAGAAGAAAGAAAGGCAAGGCTGGGGAGCCAGAAATTCCTCACCCCTGCAGCAGGCAGCAGGGAGCCCTGCACTGTTGTTTGTTTTTAACTTTTTTTTGGGGGGGGGAATAAAATTCAGATTTATAGAAAAGTTACAGAGATGGTACACGGAGTTCCTGGACGCCCTTCACCCATTTCCCTGTAATAGTAACATCTTATATAATTACAGCGCATTTATCAACACTGAGAAATTAGCATCAGTACAATCTGTTCACTGAACTTGAGACTTGGTTCTGGTTTCATCAGTTTTTCTACTCAGGTCCTTTTTCTGTTTCGGGGTGGATTCCAGGATGCCATACTGCATTTAGGGGCCTTGATTTTTAATAAATTAAGACATCTATCTATCTCGTTATCCAGCTAGCCACGTAGGCAGCTGGCTATTTTATAAAACGGCTTTATGGACGTATAATTGACATATAAGGAATTGCACATGTCTGAAAGACGCATTTTGCTAAGTCTGACCTACGCATTCGTGGTGAAACCAACCATCGATCTGCAAGCCCATCAGAAGCAACTGTGAAATCATCACATGGTAGGGATTTTAGCTGAACCACGCAGCAACAAATGGCCAAACTTATTAAGAGTTTACTAAATGCCAAAACTATCTTAAACATTTCACACGAATGCATATATTTAGGCCCTCTAACAACATGTGCTAGATTGGATTCCGGCTGCCATTTGTCCGCTTCCTGCTACAGAATTGTGCTCCTACGCCCTCTGTCAGGTCTCTTGACAGGGGCACCTGCTAGCGTAAGGGGAGTTTATTTTCCCATCTGCTGGGGACTGAATTGTGTCCCCTGCCCCACCAAATCCGTATGTTGAGGCCCCAACCCCAGTGGGGCTGTATTGAGAGACAGGGACTTTAAGGCAGTCATTAAGGTTAAATGAGGAAGAGACACCAGGGGCACGTGTGCGCAGAGGAAAGGCCATGTGAGAACATAGGGAGAACGCATCTGTCTGCAAGCCAGCCAGACACCGTCCCTGCTGATGCCCTGATCCGGGATTTCCAGCCGCTGGACCTGTGAGAGAATACATGTCTGTTGTTGCAGCCCTGTAGCGGATGGTTTTCTGTTATGGCAGCCTGAGCAGACAGACACACCACCCTGCTGACATTGGGCTTGGCCACGTGACTCGACTCGGCCAATGACGTGTTTGCTTTGTGACCTGTGGCGGTTTTCCTGTGCCTGGTGGGTTTGCTTGTCCATCTCTGCCCCTGTGATTCTCTGGGAGCGAGGCAGAGCCTGGGAAGCCGCTGGTCCTTGGAGATTGGGGAGGCACCCAGAACTGACCTGAACCCATTTAGTGCCCTGGACCCAACAGTGGCCGATCCTGATGAAGAACCTCAGCTCACCTGCAAACTTGTGGAAAGAAAACAGGGAGCAGAGGGTGGAGATGCAACGGGGTGGTTGTAGCAGAAGTTATGTGAGCTGGGTGGGGGGTGGGGGGTGGCAACCGCACGGGGAAGAGCCCAGTAGGCCAGGTCTTTATTTTATTTTTTAATGTTTTTATTTATTTCTGAGAGAGAGAGACAGCATGAGCAGGGGAGGGTCAGAGAGAGAGGGAGACACAAAATCTGAAACAGGCTCCAGGCCCTGAGCTAGCTGGCAGCACAGAGCCCGACACGGGGCTCAAACCCACGAACCATAAGATCATGACCTGAGCCGAAGTTAGACACTCAACCGAATGAGCCACCCAGGCGCCCCAGCCAGGTCTTTAAAAGAAAGGCAACAGACCAGGGTGCCTGGGTGGCTTAGTTGGTTAAGTGTCCAACTTTCACTTAGGTCATGATCTCGCGGTTCGTGGGTTCGGGCCCCGCGTTGGGCTCTGTGCTGACTGCCAGCTCAGAGCCTGGAGCCTGTTTCAGTCTGTGACTCCCTCTCTCTCTGACCCTCCCCTGCTCACGCTGTCTCTCTCTCTCTCTCCTAGAAATAAATAAAAAACATTAAAAAAAAAAAAAAAAAGAAAGGCAACAGAACCTACTGGGCTACCCAGTGAGCAGACATGAGCATGAGGAAGGAGGCTGCATCAGAGGATGTCCCAAGTTTTATTTTGTTGTTGTTCTTTTTTTTTTTTTAAGAACCCTTATTTATTTATTTATATTTGAGAGAGAGCGAGGGGAAAAGACATGAGTAGGGGAGGGGCAGAGAAGGAGAACCTCAAGCAGGCTCCATAGTGTCAGTGCAGAGCCCTATGCGGGGCTCGAACTCATGAACCACAAGACCATGACCTGAGCCGAAGATCGACTGAGCTGACCTGGTGCCCCTTTGTTCTACCCTTCAAACAGAGGCTGGGAGGAGCCCAATTAGTTGTCTTTATTGCTGTGGTTGTTTGATGTGGGTAGAAAAGTGTAACTGCTACGAACTGACCACGAGGATTTGGGAAACTGGAGTGAGTGAAGACAGTTTTTACACACTTCAGACAGTTAGGCAGGTGAGCTGGGATCTAATTAATGGCATAGCAGTAATTGCATCCAGGTTTTATAATGATGTTGTTAAAAAATTTTTTTTATTATGGTAAGATATACATAACATATAATTTAGCATTTTAACCATTCCCTTTTTAAGGTTTATTTATTTATTTTTGGGAGAGAGAATGAGCGAGTAAGGGAGGTGCAGAGAGAGGGGGAGAGAGAGAGAAAATTCCAAGCAGGCTTCGCACTGTCAGTGCAGAGCCTGATGCAGGGCTCAAACTCACGAACCGGGAGATGATGACCGGAGCCCGAGTTGGACACCTAACTGACTGAGCCACCCAGGCGCCCCAGGATTTTAACCATTCTTTCTTTTTCTTTTCTTTTTTAAAATGTTTTATTTATTTCTGAGAGAGAGGAAGACAGCATGAGCAGGGGAGGGTCAGAGAGAGAGGAAGACACAGAATCTGAAACAGGCTCCAGGCTCTGAGCTGTCAGCACAGAGCCCGACGTGGGGCTCAAACCCATGAACTGTGTGATCATGACCTGAGCTGAAGTTGGACACTTAACCAACTGAGCCACCCAGGCGCCCCTTAACCTTTCTTAAGTATACAGTTCAGTGGCATTAAGTACATTCATGCTGTTGTACAACCATCATCACCTTCCATTTCCGGAACTTTCTCACCACCTCCAACAGATGTATCCATTAAGCAGGAACTGCTTATTCCCTCCTCCCCAACACCTGGTAACTTGTACACGGCTCTCTACAGATCTGCCTGTGTTAGCTATTTCGAATAAGTGGAATCACACAATATTTGTCCTTTTGTGACCTGGGTGTCTGGTTCATGTCGCTTAGCGTTATGTTTTCAAGGTTCATCCGTGTTGTACCCAGTGGCAGAACTCATTTTCATGGCTGAATAATATTCCACGGTGTGGCAGCCCCACATTTTGTACATCCACCCATCTGTTGATGGACATCTGTTGAAAGAAGCTCTTCCTTTTGAGTGTTGTGAATCACGCAGCTATGAACATCCATACAAAGTGCCTCTTTGAGTCCCTGTGGTTGGTTCTTCAGGGGATACACCTAGGAGTGAAATAGCTGGGTAACTCCGTTTTGCTAGCAATGTGCAACGTGCCTTTGGTTAAGTCACTTCTACTCATTGGAGCTATTTATTTCCTCATATCCTTAAAATGTAGGTTCCTCTTGATTTTGCTCGGCTTTCCAAGCCAGGGGTTGGTGGGCTTCCTAGAAGATAAAAAAGGGTAGTGCGTGGGGAGGGCTGAGGTTCAGCCTTGGTGGGAAGCTCCCAGTTACCGGGGTTGGACAGGTAACAAAGAGGAGCCAGCAAAGGAAACAGACCAGGAGTGTGGGTGGCCAGAGGAAGAACGTCTTCTCTACAGTGGGGACATCTTCTCTATGGTGGGGACAGAGGGGTAGGAACAAGGGAGTGGAGAGAGAAATTGTAGCCTCACCCAAAGGAGTGCTCAAAAGGAGCTTTGCTAATTTGGTTTGATGCGATGAGGTTGGGCTCAGCAGAAAATCCAGGGTGAGAGTCAGGGGTCTCGTCCTCTGGGAAGCAGAGATTGTGTGGCTGGAATGCAGATCACCTGCTGCCGCAGGCTTGGGGGCTGGAGAGGAGACTGGGCAGCTTGTGGGTGCATCAGGGTCAAGGGTGAGAAATAAAAGGACTGGTAAGTCAGGCTTTCGTTATTGAACTCACAGTAAACAAATTGCATTTTTTTAAACATTTTTAAAAGTTTTATTTTAGACAGAGAGAGCAAGTGGTGGAGGGGGCAGAGGGAGAGAGACAGAGACATACAGAGAGAGACAGAGAATCTTAAGCAAGCTCCACGCTCAGCTCGAAGCCCCACCTGGATCCCATGACCCTAGAGTCATGAGGTGAGCCAAAATCAAGAGTCGAACGCTCTCAGCTCACTGAGCCACCCAGGTGCTCCAAGAAATTGTATTTTCGAAAGGAAATCGGCTTTCATGGTAGATGTGCTTATCACTTTACTTAATACGTACCCTATGTGGTTCCACGCAAAATTTAAAGTGGACAGATTAATGCATCAGATAATGGATGCTGTATATTTTTGGATTTGGGAAAAGACTCTGAGTACTCAGGCAGAAGGTGATAAGCTCCTTTTATTAGTGTTTAATAATAACTATTATTTATTGAACTGCAGATGACCCAGCGTCATCTCAACGAATCTTCACACCAACCTGAAAAGACTTGGTTACCTTTTCTGGTAACCATCTTACAGATCACCCCATTTTGCAGATGGGAAAACTGAGGCTTGGAATCAAGTGACGTCACACTGAAGGAGGAGCAGAGAGGAGATTCGAACTCAGTCTGCCTAGCTCTGAAGTACATGTGCAGAACCTCTGTGCTTGGGAATCTTGGACTTTCTGGGAAGGGCTGAGTCTCACTTTGTCCTTGATCTTTACTGGTTCCTCTGCCTTCTTGAAGATTTCCCGCTAGACAGGGGTCAGCAGAGCTGGGTGACCCTGAGCAAATCGCTTGCCCTTTCTGAGCATCCATAGCCTGGTTGCAATCTGACGATAATGACATCCCTTTTGCAGGAGCTGCTTTGAGCATCAGGCCAATTGGGAATGTGACAGTTTTCCTCACCAGCCCAGCCTGGGGCAGATGACGGAATGTGGGTATTGGCTGCGCCATCCATGGGGCTCAGTCTGCCACCATGCTGCTTGCTCCCTGTGGTGTTTTCAAGCGAGTAAGGCCCTTTAGCTTTGAGCCAGATCTAGGCTTCAAAAGACAGAGGAGGGAGGAGAAATGAAGAAAGGTTGCAGAGAACGCTTCTGGAGAAGAGGGGTGCAAAGGGGCAAATCTCTGGCCAATCAGTGCCACCCCTGTGTGTGTGTGTGTGTGTATATGTGTGTAAGTGGGGTATGTGTGAGTCTGTGTGTGTGTGAAGGAGTGTATGGGGTGAGTCTGTAGGGTGTGTACAGGATGAGTGGTGTTTATAGGTGTGTGTGTGGTGTGTATGGGTCTGTGTCTGTGTGTGAGGGTGTGTCTCTGTGTGTCCCTGGCACCCCCACCCCACCTGCCTTCCCAATATCCACTCTGGGCCACTTCAGGCAGCATGCTGACCAGCACAAGCAGGCTGCTGTCCACAGCAGCCCCCTGACATCCCCCCAACCCGCGCTCTCTGCCTCCTCCCCTGCCTCCGCCAATCCCCAGCTGGGAAGCCCCTAGTCTCCCTCTGACCGGGACCAGTCTGCTCGGGGTCATCACCTCCCGAGTCAGCTCCTGGGGCTGCTGCTGCCTCTACCCGAAAAGGCTCTTTCCCTTGGCAACGACAGATCTCGGGGTGAGAGTACCTTGCCCGTTGCGGCACCTGCCCAGGTGTGCTCCGTTTTTGCCCAAGGCAAAAGCTTGAACTCCAGAACTGCCCGGAGTGAGGCGTGCGGCTCTCCCTCTGTCGGGAGTGGGGTAGGCGTCCCTGCCAGTCCAGAGATGGCTGGACTTAACTGCAGGGTGTACAAGACTTACCATCTTCGGTCAGGACAGGGATGACATCTCGAAGAATTCACATGTAGTTTGGCTAGGCGCTGGCCACTCAGAATGGATTCTGTGCTTGATGAATATACAATCTCCCCCTCCCCACCCCCACCCAGAGACCCATCAATAATCATCCACAGAAAGGCGAGGAGGGAGCACACTGAGCCCCAAGGAATTCTGGCACTGGGGCAACTGGTCTGTCCCTGGTCTCTCTCTGCTTCCCTTACTAGTGGTAATGACTCCTATGCATTGAGTAAGTGACAGTCCCATTGCTCCGTGCCAGGCACTGGGCCAAGCACTTCGTATGTACTATTTCACTTAATTCCCACACAACCCTTTGAGGTAGGTACTAACATTATCGTTCCCATTTCACAGATGGGAAAGCTGAGCCCCGAGGCGTCAGCTCCCTTGCCCAAGATCACACAGCTAGTGAGAGCCAGAGCTCGGGTTTAATCCTAAGCGGTCTGGACTCCTCTGCTTCGCTCAGCGCTCCCATGTCCCTGCTGGGGGTGGGTGGGGGCTGCCTTACAAGGTGGCTGCTGTAGCCCTCCCAGCTTCCTGCGATAGAATTCCCTGCGAAATCATGTTTCCAACCAAGCTGGCTCTGAAGGTCGCTGGTAATCAAACTGTCAGCAGGTGATCTTCAGTGGCTGCCATCATCAGGACCCCCGAGAGCCAGGAGAGACCTCGGAAATCACGCTTCCTGCCCACACGGCTTGGGGGTGGGGGTGTGAGAGGCCAGGAATGGAAACAGGTTAACAGGGCTGGGGGCCAGGAGCCGAGTGGCCGCTGTGCTCTGGCTCCCCTGATAATGAGAGGGGAGAGGGCGCAGGGTCCTTCCCGCTGCTGGTGATGCTGGGTGAGCTGAACTCCTGGTCCAGGCAGCTGGCAAAGTTCTGATGACATCGAGTGGAGGAGAGTCAGGGGTCTTCCCTGGGGTCAGGGAGCCTTGGGGAGGAGGCAGAAGAGGTACATTCTTCTGAACCACTGGCTGAGTGGCCGACACCACGTCACACTATGTCATTCATAAGGGGGTCCCATGTGCCAGGCGGTTTCCCATACCATCTCATTTCTCGGAGGCCTCGACTGGCAAACGGGTCAAATCTTCCAAGTGTTCAGTCTGGCGTTTGGACTCCTACTTAGGTGTTTTCTTTGAACTGTAAAGGTGTTTTCCAATTTTGCAATTGGCTGGCAAATGCTGGTAAAACTAAGAGAAGCCAGCATCTTGTCTGCAGGCGTTTTCAGAGCCTTTAACAAACTAGATCATATCTCTTCACAGGAGGAGGGAAGGGAAGCAGCCTGGGACCCCGGAAGTCCTGAAGGCGACAGGATTAGTACCTCAGTGCACCTCAGTGTGGGGAGCAGCCTTGCCCACCAGGGGAACACGGGCTGGCTTCTCTCCTGGTCCCTGCCCCCCATCTGAGTACAACCTGCTGTGGGTTGGGCCTCAGCTCAGCACCTCACAGGAACTGCCTAGAATAAGGCAGGCTGGCATCAGTGCGTGTTCTCCTCTCCTGGACTGTTTAAGGGCTCCCTGGCTCATCCGGGTGCAGGCGGATCAGGCTGTCCCATGCTCTGGCCTCACTTCTCCCTCCAGCTGGGGTAGCAGGGGCCGCTGGCTTCTGGGTCCTTCTAGACACCTGGATGCCTGGGGTTCCAGGCACTGCTGCTCCTTAGATGCCCTGGGGCAGGGCTGGATGGACCAGAACTCCCAGACGCCTCCCACCTCCCTCCCCATCGCCGCCCTCCCTGTTTGCTCCTAGACTTCCCCTGGGCACTCTTTGATCCTCAACCCCAAGAATAAACAGCAAACGGGGGAAACAGGCCCTGCCTGCCGCAGGCTCTTAGCCCTGACTGCTCCCTGTTCTAAGAACAGGAATCCAGCTTCCTTACTTTGGCTGAAACTGGTTTCTCCTTTGCTGCTGGCACATGGCTAGACTACATTTCTTAGTCGCCTGTCTAATCAGAGGGTGCTGGGCCATCACGGCCGAGTTCCGGCTAACGGGCTAATGGGACATCAAGGAGCCATGATTCCACGCCCAGACCTGGCCTGCAAAACTTCCCATGCAGTGGCTCTCCCTCTCTCCTACTGGCGAAATACAGAAGATACAACAGAGAAGCCTGGTGCTGGGAGATGGTAGAGAACAATCCAGAAGGAGCTGTTAAAGTGAGTGAGATCAGGGTAGACATCCCGACGCAGCCATTTAAATCTCTGTGATATCGAGCAAGTCACTCACCTCTCTGGACTCCTGCATAAGTAGGAGATAATAATAGTGCCTTCTTTGCGGGATGGGAGGAGCCTCCTTGATTTGGGACAACTCTCAAGGCCGTCTGAGCCCAGAGCTCCCTGTAGCATTGGTTGTGGCCCCTGCATCATGATCCAGTTTCTCTCTCCTCCTAGTTTGCTTTTTTCCCTCCGTTACAAAGATCCCAACCTCTGTGTTCTGTTGTTTTTTTTTTTTCAATCCATATCTTTGAGTTCTGATTGAAAACAATTAATATTGGAAGAGGTTGTAGGAGATGGACTTTTTTTTTTAATTTAGAACTTTGAAGAATGTTTGTTTTATTTTAACATTTATTTATGTGTTGTTGTTGTTTTTTGTTTTGTTTTTTTGAGAGCCAGAGAGAGCCAGAGCTTGAGCTGGGGAGGGGCAGAGAGACAGGGAGACACAGAATCCTTAGCAGGTTCCAGGCTCTGAGCTGTCAGCACAGAGCCAGATGTGGGGCTCGAACCCATGAACCGTGCAATCAAACCCACGAACTGTGTAATCATGACCTGAGCTGAAGTCGGACTCTTAACCGATTGAGCCACCCAGGAGCTCCATGGAGATAGACTGTAAAATGGGATTTAAAAAAAATTTTTAATGTTTTATTTACTTCTGAGAGAGAGAGAGAGAGAGAGAGAGAGACAGACAGACAGAGAGAACGTGAACAGGGGAGGAGCAGAGAGTGAGGGAGACACAGAATCTGAAGCAGGCTCCAGGCTCTGAGCTACCTGTCAGCACAGAGCCCGATGCGGGGCTCGAACCCACGAACCGTGAGATCATGACCTGAGCTGAAGTTGGATGCTTAACCGACTGAGCCCCCTAGGTGTCCCTAAAATGAGATTTTTGAGATGCATTACTCGCTGGTCAGCTGGCAATGACAACCCCATCTTTGGTGGCAGGGAGCATAGTGCTAGTACCTACCATGCTGTCACATGCATGGTGACTGTCCCTGGGGGGAACCGGGACGGAGAACCAGGGAGAGGGGAAGCACTGGTGGATAAAATGTCTTGGGTGTTTGAGACATTTGGAGGAAGTAATAATCATGAGGACCATGGAGTTGGAGAAGCACTGCCGGGCCGTGGGGAAGGCTACCCGCACACCAGTAAAGGCAGGAACGCTGTGGGCAGTTAGTCACAAGTGTAAGCGGAGAGTGCGATCTGGAGAGCCTCCTCGGCAGCACAGATGGAGAGGCTCTCATCTCCTATAGCCTGAGGACAACAATGGCTAAGGATCAGGTCCAGAACTTGATCATAAGAGAAGCTACAGAGAGGGATGAATTCTCAGCCCTGGCTTGTCTGCCACTCCAAGGTCAGAGCTGGATTGGAAAGAGTGGGACGCCAATATGTGACATATGGACAGGGACATCTGGGTCGATGCATTTGAAAATCTTGAATCACCGAATTCCCCTGAACCCCGTGGGTGTGCAAAAGTGGTCCACTCCTCCTGGCTAAAGGCAGGTACTCCATCTTGGCTTGAGGATGATGCAGAGGCCTCTGGTCTGCAAGATAAGATGTACCTCTGCCTCCCGTCCTGGCCACCAAACCTTAGTAATGAGTCAAGTTACAATATAATCCGGTGACACTGAGGGAAGAAAGG